TGTGGGCCTAAACTGAGCCAGTGAATTTGGCGGTGTGTTTAACATCGGGTCAAAGTTTGGATTAGGGTTTTGGAAAGCTGCTCGCTGTAGTTCTGGCTGCTGCTGCTGCTGCTGCTGGACGGAGCTGCTTCCCAGGATCCTGCCGCCATTACTCCTGCTCCACTGAGCTCGCAGGAGATAGTCTTCAGTGACAGCAAGTGCATTAAACACATTCAATACACACACAGCACAGACAATAGCCTATATCAGGTATCTAATATCAAACGTTCGTCTCTTTCCCAGCTCATCCTTGGAGCCGCATGAGAATGTCTGCAAGTTATTAGTGCCCCCGCATCCTGACCCCGCGCAGCTTTCTCATGTGACTTTGTTGAGGTATGTCTGTTCAAATCTGTCTCCAAGTCTCTTTGACTGGGAGTCCTGCAGTGTGTGTTTGTTTGATTATTAGATTTTCATAAAAACCCAGGTTATGTTGTGGGTTTTATTATCTTCTTCAGCATACTGGAGACCATTTAGTGCCGACAGCAGTGTCTGTGTTGCTCAATCGTGCACACACAATGAAATAGCACTTGAGAAAGAGTAAACAAGCCAGAGATTGTTTTGTAATGCTTAATCTTTGTCCGACATTAGGGGTAAAGCACAGTCAATAACCTTTGCACACTCAGATATTACAACATTTATATTGCTGCTGTGGAAAAAAGTGAAATTAAGTGTTTTTCAAAGTGTCTTTGAAAACAACCTTTAAACATGTGTGACTAAAAAGTTAGCAGCTTATGTGCTTCAGTTTTAAAGGGACAGTTCACTCCAAAATCAAAAATACATATTTTTCCTCTTACCCGTAGTGCTGTTTATCAGTCTGGATTGTTTTGGTGTGAGTTGCAGAGTGTTGAAGATATCAGCTGTAGAGGTGTCTACCTTCTCTCCAATATAATGGAACTAGATGGCACTCAGCTTGTGGTGCTCAAAGCGCCAAAAAATACATTTGAAAAACTTAACATCAATGTCTCTTTCTAGAAATCATGACCTGGTTACTCGAGATAATCCACAGACCTTGTTATGAGCAGTTTCATGTAGGAACTACTACACCATTCTTGTCTTTTGACTTGAAAAATCTGTCTTCCAAGCCCAAAAATTGAAAAACTGTTATTCAAAACATGTGCCACAAATCATTTCTTTTACCTTCATTTCCTAGATCAACTAATGTCCATGCAGTAGCTCAGTCCATAGGGACTTGGGTTGGGAACCGGAGGGTCGCCTGTTCGAGTCCCCGTCCGGACCAAAATATGGAGTGCACTGCTGAGGTGCCCTTGAGCAAGGCACCGAACCCCCCAACCGCTCGGGGCGCCTCACCAAGGGCAGCCCCCTCACTCTGACATCTCTCCAATTTGTGCATGTATAGGTCCTGTTTGTGCATGTGTGTGTCTTTCGGACCTGTGTGTAATTGACAAGCAAGAGTGAAAACATTGAATTTCTCCTCAGGGGGATTAATAAAGGAAATAAACTTAAACTAAACTGTCACCCTAGATTTTGCAGTGCCTCCTGCACCCTTGTCGGCTTATTAAGCATGTTAAATCGACATCGCAGACAGCAAAGCCCGTCAGTGAATGTCAGCACTCTGATTAGCAGTTCAGCTCAGTGTATGCCAATAGAACAGAAGTGAGGAATTACTGGGTACGAATTTCTCTTTCGCAGAAATGGTTCGTAATTGTTGGTGCTACTGTTTGCTAGCGCACTGTTCATGTGGTTTGTTCTTTCAACATCCGTTTGTGTTGTTAAGTGCAGTTCAGACGAAAGATTTGCAATTAGAAGAAACTGTTTTCGAATGTTGCAGAGAAAGGTTGCAGCAGCGTGAACTGGTTAGTTTGAGCTCGACTCAAGTTGGCTGATGGTGTCACCTGCAACTCAGCTGGTCGAATAGCTAGCAGCTGGTTTTAGAACGTAAAGCACGTCACCTGTTTGGCTTGTAGTGAAACCTGCTGGTCAAGTCAAAATGGCCGCAGGCGGTGTGTTCACTTGCTGCGACAGGTGCTCCGTCCCCAAGGTGTGCCCATATCGGACAGTGGGTCGCTGCTGTTGTTTGCTGTATGTGCTTATGCCCCCTCAGGCACACACATTCTCACTCACAAGTATAGAGAGTTGTTGCATAGAGATGATACACCTTATTATCTAGTTGCATCGGTGTGAACCAGCAGGTTTTTAGAATGTTGCAGAATGGCACATCGCAACTAGTTGCCTGTTTCGACTTGTCTTGTCACAAATCTTTGGTCTGAACTGGGCTTAAAAGGTGCTAACTGGCCAACTAGAGTCTTAAATCTGTCCTGTTGGTCTTCTGGTTTCCCTTTCTGAATGACGAATACAGACTGCTGCTATGGAGAATTACTTCCTCTCCTGCAGGCGCAGAACATACATGCTAGTTGGCCATTGGCTGTAGTCTTTGCGGTGAGTTCAGGTACAACAGGCACCGTGAGGCGACGCAACAGACGCCCTTGGTCACCGCTATTCTTTTAATGTCTGTTTGGTGTGTCTGGGCCTTAACATTACAGATAAGCTGAGCAAGACGCCATTAATGTTTACATCTCACACTGTCACAAGCACAAGCATTTTGTCCATGAGTTGGGTGTACTTCAGCAGAGAGAAAATAGTTCCTACATGAAACTGATCACAACAAGGTCTGTGGGTTATCTTGAGTAACCAGGTCATGATTTCTGGAAAGAGACATTGCTGCTTGGCACTCTGAGCACCACAAGCTGAGTGCCATCTAGTTCCATTGTATTGGAGAGTGTATTTTTGATTTCATTTGATTTTGTCTCTTTAAAATATCACTAAGGTCTGAAAGTGTGCACAAAATGCAAATGATGGAACCCAAGAGAAAAGTGGGTCGATATTCTGGCCAGAAAGGACTCGGAGCGCTTCAGTCGCTACTGTTTTTGAGTTTTGTTCACTTCTAGAACTGCCTTCAGGCGCCATCAGGGTGCACTGACCCTCGTCCAATAGTCCAAACCCATCTTTGCACTACAGCTAATAACCTGTATATGTTGTTTAGATTAGCAGTTCATTAGCCATATGTAACAACAGCACACTAAAAGTCCTCACATAGACAAGAGAGGTCGTTCTCAGCTGAGGCAGGTACCGTGATGAGAAAGTAGAGAGGAGGAGGCAAAAGGAAACAGAGAGGGAAAGACGAGTGAAAGATCAGGTGAGGAGGTGGAGCTACTGCAATTGTCGCCCAGTGAACTGGCTCATACCAATGTCAGAATAAGTTTAAAATCCTCAATGCAACAGTGTGCATTTGTACTTTTTTCACTGCAGGATGAATAACTCCTGCTCACTGCAGCTCAACAGTGCCCCCCAATGACAAGACACGCTCATAACTGTAAAGCAATTCCTGGTGTATTTTAAAACGGCATGTAAAATTGAAATTTAAATCACCATATACAAAGCTAAGGCTGAGTTTCTCTTTACATATACAGTCTGAACTTAAACACTCTTAGTACCAACCCACTGTACAGTTACAGGTTTCTTGTTTCAGCTCCTTGTTAAAATGCAGAATTTAAAAAAAAGCTCTAAAAACATAACTTTAAAGTACATTAAATACAAATAAACATTGACCTTATTAAACATTCCTTAATTAAAGGAACAGCATGATTGTCTATTGTTAAACAATAATACAATATAATGTCTCTAACCATTCTCATGTGTGGATTAAACAAAAAGTTTTGGTTTCAATACTGATATAAACATTGGTTCTCGTGTCTAATTACAAAAGCCAACATTAAGATGTTGTTAGTAAACACAAAACAGGCCTCTCCTGATACAAAAAGTGCATTATTAACATGAGGCAATAAGTTATTCCCTTGGCAGGTGTTGTCCTCTGACATCAAAGAAAAGGCACTGGGAAGAAATCTGGATAAATGAACAAACAGAAAGCTCTGCTGGTCCGACTCTTTGGCATCACTGTTGTTGGATTGATTGTCTTCTTCTGGTAATACTTGTGTAACTGGCTTTACCATGTGCAATAAATGAATTCCAGGGTTTAACAAACATTATGGCTTTTTTTTACTTGGCAGGTTTTGGATAAACATTCCTTGATGATTTGGTCAGAGAGGTCTCTAAAGTAAGTAAAAATCGAAGACAAAGCAGAAGGGATGCACCGATTGTGAAACTGCGGGCCGATACCAATGTTGGAAAATAACAATTTGGCTGATAGGCAATAACGGGTTTTTTTTGTTGTTGCTTTGTTTGTTTTTGTCGTTGTTTATTTCCCCTTTTGTGCTGGGGAAACAAACAAATCTTCATTATGATAAAAAAAACGGAACAGCTACAAATTCAGTCATGAAAAACACATTTTTAAAATGTCTTCCAAAGCCTTTTTACCCATTATAATACATCATAATTCCCTCTCTAATATCTGTTTTCTTTTGCTGGGGAAACATCAGAAAATTTCTCATTCAAACAACTGTACTTATTCAAGTTTCTCAAGTTTTACAAGTTGTAGAGCTGCCCCCCAACTAAGAATATTCCTGGTCGACCAATAGTCGTCATTTAGGGCCATTAGTCGACTAGTCGCCCACATGTTTATGATATTGATGTAATTATTAAATGATATATCTTGGTGGTTTGAGTTGAAGGTGTGAGAAAGAATAGTATCAGTAACATTGTTAACACTGTGCTACATTACAGAGAAATACAAAACCGTACTAATGAACCTTCATTAATATAGGCCTATATTTTATCTACAAGTGCACGTCACACACTGAGCGAGCCGCCTGTTAATGACGCTGTGGGCTAATGGGCATGTAGCTACTACCATGATTCAGATGATACGTCATGTTTGTAGTCGACCAATGAAGATGAGTTTACATATCACCTTGGGTTCGTCCTTCACCTTCTCAAAATGATCCCACACTTTGGATTTCCTGCCCGACATGTTATTAACTAGCCTGTGGAATAACCGCAGGTACCAGTCCTGGAAATTAACCTGACTCCTGTCTGACTGCTGAGCATGGACACTTCCTGTGTCTGTCCTTTCAAATTAAATTCCCACATGGTCCAGTCATATAGATTTTGATTTATTTTGATAAGGCGCAGCTTCTAATAGAGTTTCACGTTTTTTTTTTCCTGACCTTACTGGTCGACTAACTTTTGGTCGACTATCAGGGGGCAGCCCTAATTCCCTCTCTATTATCTATTTCATTTGCTGTGAAAACATAAAAAAAATTCTCATTCAAACAATTGTATTTATTCAAGTCTCACCAAACACTAAGTTCAAAAGTTGGGCTATTCAATTAAAAATTCAATTGAGCCTAATTTTAAAACCAGAAAATGTTGATGGGCCAGACATTTTCAGCCACAAGTGACCTACTGAAATTTCTAATTAGCTTTTGGTAATGACAAATTTTAAACAAATGCAAATTAATGCAGTAAAAGTAGCCTTATGATACATGAAACCAAAACTTTAAAAAGTATTGATAAAAGTGCCGATAATGTTGGAGCTTGTTAATACTACAGTCTTGATTAATTTTGATCGGGGTCGTTTAATACCACGTCTCAGTACTCATCCCTAGCCGGGCCACTCGGAGGTTGCAGACGTGGCCGCGGGCCTCCAAATGAATAGGCCTGTTCTACAAGATTACATACAAACATATATGTTATAGTTGACCTTTGCCAAATACTCTTTTTTACTGAATAAAATTTAAATGCATCATAATGTCAGTCAGTCTAAACCTCTGTTCGCTCTAAGTTCTAGATGCTAACAGCTAACGATAACTAGCTCTCCTCCGGCCGATGTCAGCACAGATTTGTTGTTCATAATGTGCATTATCAGGGAATAAATAGGACAAATGCATCCCCTGACACACTGACAGTCCTTTTGTCCTGATAACGCCCCTGGTAAGATCTTTCTTTGTCCCAATTTTCTATTGTGCCTTGGACGACAGGACATAAGTCTTGAGCCCTGCTTTTTAGTCTGCGCAAAATTGATGTGACACAACAGAAAAACATCGGCCACTGTTATTGGTAAAAGTATTCTTATTTGCCTTTAGGCCGCTGACGGTCAACAAGGTAAATATCAGCCAATATTGATGTTTGGCTGATGAATCGGTGCATCCCTACTTAGCAAATTCCTCGTGGATGTTTGTGCTGATCATGTGCAAATAATAATCTGAATATATTAAATAAATTCCTACTAATATTGTGCCTTCTTTCCATCAGAAAGCAATTTAAATTTAACCCACTGTCCCCACTGGTACTTTAAGCTCATATCTTTGGAGTCCATTTCCTGTATTACTCTTGTACCATCTGGAGATTTGCTCTCAGTGGGACAAACTGTGTCTGACTGAGCAGCGGGATGGAGGTGAATTCAAACTCTGACTTCGATGTTGATATAATGATAAAGAAGAAAGATTTACAATCAGGAGTCGAGGGCGTCTTGACTCCAAAGCTTTTACTCAGCGCTGAAACACGCTGATTCAGCCATCGGACATGCTCTCTGTCACGGGGGTGGGGCTGTGGGCCGGGCTGCCGTCTGTAGAGCCGTAAGACTGCTGGAGTTTAGACTCCTCTGTTGTGCTGGCAGGTGATTTGGGATTAAGCACTCTGGGAAGGTAGACCTGTAATTATACAACACAAAAGAGATGAAGAACAAACAAAAGAGGAACACCACCTAAATTAAAGATTCCAATGTTATTTCCACGTCCTAAGAAAGTGCAATCAGTACTTGTGAACATGAGCTACTCTCTTGCACAGCCAAAAACACTACAGGCATAAATATCCCACAATGCAGTACGGTAGTTTAAGATTCGTATCCATTGGAGAACTCTCAATCGACTGAGATTTTTTAAGGGGAGCAGTTGTTGTTATTTTTCTTCTCAGTGTGTAATGCACTTCTGAGGACGTAAGAAGATGTTGCCGTTATACACTTTTTCACAAGAGTTGAAAAATCTGAACTTTAACGACCAATTCGTCCATGACAGCCAATCAGCTTTGAGATCCTATGAGATGTATGGCGCCGAGGACATACCAGTGCAAGTTCATTCATCGGTTCAGCGATGTCACACGCGTATGACACAAGTTAGTGGCGTGTATCAAATGAGTCAATACAAAATATTCTCGTATTCAAACTTGCATGAGTAACGTAATGCAAAAATGTACAGGAATTACGTGTTAATTTTAAAAAATGGACATATTTCCCCTTTAAGGATGTTTATTAACATATTTTTTGTGTGTTCTTTCATCCTCCCTGATGTGTATGATGCAATACTGCATTTAATGGCCAAAGAATGATTTAAACACAAAAGAATGTTGAAGATTAGGGAAAGATGAAGCTCCTGAAAATTCCGGAGGAACATTAGGTCTGAACCTGTGACTGGTGAGGACCAAAGTTCAGTACAAGAACAGCTCAGTGTGAACAATCAGTTCTTTAACACACTGTTCAGAAAACACTGACCTCAAAAGCTCTGGTGTTTTACTTTGTAAATGAATAACAAATCATGAGAGTGACAAATAGGGTTAGAGAAATAACAGCTCAGCTCAGGTAAGTTAACTCAAGATCACGCCTGCCCTAAATACATCAGCTCTTTATTCACACTGTGGACTTTTGTATAGAATAAGTACAGTACCATGGTGTTTTCTTCCACTCCCTCCACTGTATCCTCATCCTCGTCTTTCACCTGCGAAAGAACACAAACACAATGAGGGCTCAGCGTGAAGGACGAGAAAGACGTGACAGTGTTTGTACATGAAACTGAGCGCTCACCGCGTAGTTGTGTGGACTGAGGTACTTGAAAAGGCCGAAGCAGGTGTAGCTGACGCAGATGAAGACAGTGATGCAAAGGACCACCAGCGTGAACAGAGAAGTGGCCGTCCAGAAACCTGAAACACACCACACATACACAAATAAGGCGGGGCAACACAATGGTTTGAGTTGAAGGTGTGAGAAAGAATAGTATCAGTAACAATGTTAACACTGTGCTACATTACAGAGAAATACAAAACCGTACTAATGAACCTTCATTAATATAGGCCTATATTTTATCTACAAGTGCACGTCACACACTGAGCGAGCCGCCTGTTAATGACGCTGTGGGCTAATGGGCATGTAGATACTTCCATGTTTCAGATGATACGTCATGTTTGTAGTCGACCAATGAAGATGAGTTTACATATCACCTTGGGTTCGTCCTTCACCTTCTCAAAATGATCCCACACTTTGGATTTCCTGCCCGACATGTTATTAACTAGCCTGTGGAATAACCGCAGGTACCAGCCCTGGAAATTAGCGTTGAGCTGGGAGGCGAGCAGGGAGATTTGGGCGCTGGCAAGATAGAAGGAAGTTGACTGCCAAACAGCAAAGTCACCCCTTAACTGCAGTCGGTAAATCTCAGGTCACCTTATTACTGTTAACTTTCTCCAAGTTTTCTTGTGTCTAACCTGATCTGAGGACAGAGAAGAAGTAGAGCCATATGAGGCAGATGATGGGCGCGGCCATAGCTTGATTGACAGCTCCTAGGTGGACCTGGCGGTCTAAGCGAGCAGGCAGGTAGGCAAAGTACAGGTTGTGTTTGTCCACCAGGTGCTTCAGCATCATGTACAGGAGACCTGATGGAGTCAGACACACACAAAACAAGCATTAAAGCCCTCACTATGGAAGTGACGGGAAATATGTTGTATGTAAAGAAGTGTGCCAGAGATACTGAGGTCTTAGGCTGACAGAGTGAAGCAATCACGAGAATATAGTGTGCATGACGAAAGGTGTGTGCTCACCAAAAGGCACAATGATGGGACATATGATGCTGTAAGCCATAATGACAGTGAACACACACAGGAACCAGCCGTACATGGCTCCATATTCAAACTCATAGGCCTGGTTCTGTAAACAGAAGTCAAAATGTTAGTTGATTTGTAAATGTTGAGGTGAGGCTGACATTAAAGCAAACTGCAAAGAAAACGTTCTTTTCTTCTTCTGTAACTTTACAATTACTTGAATTTAGTGAATACATGAATGACTCCTGGCCAGAGCACTTTAAATATTACTATTACACATTGTCCATCAGTTTACAGGCCAATTTACGCTTGTAAATACATCTGGCATTGTCTGAAACACCTGACCAAAGATTTCTTGCTACATGCCTTCATGCAGAGAGCATAAAAAAACACCAGGTATTTTCACTGTAACATTGCTAAATAAAAGTTTAACTGAGCAGGACTCCAGGCCAATGAAAAAGCCACAGGTAGTTCTTCAGTTTAATACACCGGTGCTCCCTGGTCTAGATTACGTTAATATAAAATACACCAAAGACTTTTAGGTGTAGTATTCCTTTAATGGACAATTTACTAACCTGTTTGACATATTTCCTTTCAGCAGCAGAGCGAGCAAATGCCATACGAATGGTGTACATCAGTAACCCTGGCAACCGCAGCAGCTCCATCCCAGAGCCCACCAGGGCCGCTGTGATCACGTAGTTGACAAAAAACGCTCCTTGGTCAGGTAAGAACACACACCTGAGGTGAGGGGAAAGAAAAAGATAAATTATATGATGACGATAAGGAAAAGACAGAAATGAAAAGGGGAGATTTTGAGAAAATAAAATGTGCACTTTTATTAAAACCAATTGGCTTTATGCGAGAACCTTTTTACCAGCCGTGACAATGTCACCACAGCTGGGTTTTTTTTCACCTTGTGAGTGTGTGTGTGTGTGTGTGTGTGTGTGTGAGAGAGTCAAAATGTGGTCGAGGTGACACCGTCTGTAGCAAGGGGTACCACAGAAGAGGTTGTGAGTATTTATAAGTCTCAACCATACTAGATGTAGTCAAAATGATTCTACACGTTGGATTTCCTGCCCTAAAATTACAACCACTCTTAAAGATACACTATGCAGGATTTTTCTAAAATACAACGTATAGACCCATACAGCAGTAATCTCTCTTAATCGTCACTTATGACCCACTAAAAGTGTGTCGCAGTGTATTTCTCTGCAGAGACTCTGCCCTCTGACTGTACTCTCTAACTGTCTTCTTATTTTCTGTGCTCAGGGAGTTTTGGGCACAGTGCTCAGGTGAAGTTGGGGCTTTATAAAAAGGTGCCAGACTGCACAATGTAGTTGCACTAAACTTATAAGATTGATAATATCTTACAATGTGTAGGAGGCTTAAGGGCCATTTTATATAGAGAGTAAAACTGACAGATTTTTATCTCTTTATAATTTACTTATCAATATTAGAACAACATTCTTAAATACCTAAATTCAAATTAATTTGTTAGTAAATGTTTTGTTTAAAAAAAAAAAAAAAAAAAAAAAAAAAAGGGATTACTTACTCAAACCTCAGTTTCCCACCTGCGAGAAACTCTGTGTCAAACAGCCAGCGGAAAAACACTGCAAGACTAACAGAGAAAAACAAAAAGAGTGGAAAAAGTGAGGCAAGGTTCTCCCTGAATCCATTTATACTAAAATGCACCTGTTAGCCTGAGGAATCCCTTTCAGCCAACTGACATTACCTTTTTTATTTTACTGTTCATGCATTAAACAAGTCAACTGTGAGTCATAAACACACTTGAGTTAACTACAGCTCAAGTATTACTGCAGAGAAACCATCAACATCGATGCTGAGCAAACCGTTGCTTATTCAATCTGATGCAAATTACCTGGTGAGTCCCAGCGAGGGGAGGATTAGCACCATGAAGAGCAGGAAGAAGTACAGTTTACGCATCATGCTCAGCTGCTCACTGGACCTGACACACAAATGGCACCAGATCAAAACATTTCCTCTGCTGACAGCAACCATTACTGCGCTACCAATGTGTGTGTGTGTGTGTGTGTGTGTGTGTATGTATAATACCTGCTCCAGTGTGCCTCTCCTATTGTCGAATAGTACACTATGGTCGGCAGCAGTGCAGAGAACGTCCACAGCAGGAGAGTGGGGAAGAACTGACTGATGATGGGGCTCTAGGTGGGAATAACAAAACAAACTTTAGATTCACAGCTTCAACAACAGATTTGTGGCAAAGTGTGTGTGTGTGTCTGCATGTGTGAGCCTCACATTAAGATAGCGGATGGGCTTCGTCACGTTGAACTTGTCCATGGTGTTGATAATGATGGTGGGAGTCGTGAGGAAGGTGAGCAGGAAGAACAGGAGGAAGTTGAGCATCAGATAGCGCATGAACCAGCGAAACCCGCGCAACGACAGATTGTCCCTATAGGACGGGGAAAACAGGAGAACAGAAGCAACGAGACAACATATCAGTGTGGAAAGTACACTCTGATTCCTCCCACAGATTTCTATTCCCTTTTCCACAGGGAACTAAGTCAAAATGTTTTTATAGAGGAAGAAGAAGAAAAACTGGTGCTCCACATTAACAGGTGATTTACAGTTTTGGTTCGTATTGAAAGGTTTACATTTTGGCTGTTGCTAGAAATTTTGCTTTTTTCTTGGGCAATTTTATTTTATGTTAACATTCTATTTCATCACTGTGCATCTTTTTCACTATATAGTTGCCTTACGAGTCATATATTTTTGGACATGTCCTTTCTACATTCAGACATCTTAAACATGACGACAGGCCAGATTCAGTCCTTTCCAATGAGAACATATCACCAAAATATTCCTCAGACAATAACCAGACAAAGTAAAAGGCTCTGAGAAGGACCATTCAGGTTGTTTGGGGGTATTAGAAGAAATACTATATTTACTGTTGTCTATTTAAAGATAGCGTTGCTGCTGATAGGTCTTCAGTCTTTACTTGCCTCTTTGCACATTCTGTGTCTTTATGGTGCGCTCCAGGCAACCCGTAACTTGTGTTTTTACAACCTTCTACCTGTGAAAGTGCACTGGAATGGCAGTCAAACCCGTAACTTACCACCTGTAAACTCGTACCAGAACAATGCTCTCTGACGTCACACAGCCCTCTAAACCAATTACCTTACTCCTCTAAACAACAATGGCAGCCCCCATGGATGCGGTGCTGATGCAGGTGATACACGGTGAGAAATAGACAAAAAATAACCCTAATGTTAACGCATTATTATATCAATACAAAATATGTTTCCAAACACACAGATAGCGTGAAATAAAAAGTATAATAGCATCTGTGACCTTATGCGCCATTTCTCCTCCACCGTTTCGCTCAAATGAGCAAGGAACCGGCACCTTTGGGGATAGAAGTGATCATAAATAAACATAAACCCCACACGGTCCCCCATGTTGCTTTGACAGTTTGGCGTGACTTGCCTGGAACACTAAGAAGTCGTGAGTCATGACTTGAAGTGGTGACTTATGGGCTCAGAAACTTGCCTGGAAAGTAGCATTAAACTAATATTTACAACACACTCGTTTGGTCAGTGCCATGTGAAGTGGCAACACATCAATGAGGAGGGCACCCAAACCAGATCCAGCTAAGGGCCCCTAAAAGTCTAGGGCTGGCCCTGATATTACCGATGTGAACTGAAGTGTTTATCTTAAAAGACCATAATGCTTTTTGTAAAATAATGAAAAATATTTTTTGCAAACTTTTTTGCCAATGTGTCTGTGTCTTCTCTCTAAATTCTGAGGTTTTTTTGGGTCCGTGAACGCAGCGCAGGCACCACTCTTCTGTTTCTTTTAACCCTCGGCAGCACTTTGTGGAGCTTTGAGTCGCGGGTGGATAATTGTTCAGTCGATCCAATCAGAGCTGATCAAGATTGGATCAGATTAATGAATAAGAGGAGCAGCTGTTTGTGAATGAAAGCAAACTTTAAGACCCAGTGCAATTAATGGTTAGGTTTTACTTTAACCACACCTGGCATTCTGCTGCTCCGCCTGTGCCTTGAGTACGCTCTGCACCACAAGAGTGTGACACACTGAATAACCGAACAGTATATACAGTACAGGCCAAAAGTTTGGACACACCTTCTCATTCAATGCGTTTTCTTTATTTTCATGACTATTTACATTGTAGATTCTCACTGAAGGCATCAAAACTATGAATGAACACATGTGGAGTTATGTACTTAACAAAAAAAGGTGAAATAACTGAAAACATGTTTTATATTCTAGTTTCTTCAAAATAGCCACCCTTTGCTCTGATTACTGCTTTGCACACTCTTGGCATTCTCTCAATGAGCTTCAAGAGGTAGTCACCTGAAATGGTTTCCACTTCACAGGTGTGCCTTATCAGGGTTAAATAGTGGAATTTCTTGCTTTATCAATGGGGTTGGGACCATCAGTTGTGTTGTGCAGAAGTCAGGTTAATACACAGCCGACAGCCCTATTGGACAACTGTTAAAATTCATATTATGGCAAGAACCAATCAGCTAACTAAAGAAAAACGAGTGGCCATCATTACTTTAAGAAATGAAGGTCAGTCAGTCCAGAAAATTGCAAAAACTTTAAATGTGTCCCCAAGTGGAGTCGCAAAAACCATCAAGCGCTACAACGAAACTGGCACACATGAGGACCGACCCAGGAAAGGAAGACCAAGAGTCACCTCTGCTTCTGAGGATAAGTTCATCCGAGTCACCAGCCTCAGAAATAGCAAGTTAACAGCAGCTCAGATCAGAGACCAGATGAATGCCACACAGAGTTCTAGCAGCAGACCCATCTCTAGAACAACTGTTAAGAGGAGACTGCGCCAATCAGGCCTTCATGGTCAAATAGCTGCTAGGAAACCACTGCTAAGGAGAGGCAACAAGCAGAAGAGATTTGTTTGGGCCAAGAAACACAAGGAATGGACATTAGACCAGTGGAAATCTGTGCTTTGGTCTGATGAGTCCAAATTTGAGATCTTTGGTTCCAACCGCCGTGTCTTTGTGAGACGCAGAAAAGGTGAACGGATGGATTCCACATGCCTGGTTCCCACTGTGAAGCATGGAGGAGGAGGTGTGATGGTGTGGGGGTGTTTTGCTGGTGACACTGTTGAGGATTTATTCAAAATTGAAGGCACACTGAACCAGCATGGCTACCACAGCATCCTGCAGCGACATGCCATCCCATCCGGTTTGCGTTTAGTTGGACGATCATTTATTTTTCAACAGGACAATGACCCCAAACACACCTCCAGGCTGTGTAAGGGCTATTTGACCAAGAAGGAGAGTGATGGAGTGCTGCGGCAGATGACCTGGCCTCCACAGTCACCGGACCTGAACCCAATCGAGATGGTTTGGGGTGAGCTGGACCGCAGAGTGAAGGCAAAGGGGCCAACAAGTGCTAAACACCTCTGGGAACTCCTTCAAGACTGTTAGAAAACCATTTCAGGTGACTACCTCTTGAAGCTCATAGAGAGAATGCCAAGAGTGTGCAAAGCAGTAATCAGAGCAAAGGGTGGCTATTTTGAAGAAACTAGAATATAAAACATGTTTTCAGTTATTTCACCTTTTTTTGTTAAGTACATAACTCCACATGTGTTCATTCATAGTTTTGATGCCTTCAGTGAGAATCTACAATGTAAACAGTCATGAAAATAACGAAAACGCATTGAATGAGAAGGTGTGTCCAAACTTTTGGCCTGTACTGTATATTCCAACAGTGCACCCTAATGAAGCGTCCAGCTCCAAAAATAGAAAATGGAAACCTGGCGGCAGATGTTTTAATCACAGAGGACCGCAACAAATAAATAAAAGTGTAGGAAACCCTGAAGAAGAAATTAAATTGTCATATTGCCAGATCACATGTAAAACAACCAAACTGGTGATCAATGCAGAAGAGAAGACTGTTCACTGTTCTGTATTACATCAGACAAAAAACTTAAAAAAACTAATTTTGTTTGATTATAATTTAATTAGAATCATCCATTCAGAATTTTCTAAAACAGTAACACCACATGATTCCACTAAAAAGTTACTTAATAATAATATTCAATTACTGCCCAGACTCACTGGCACCAAGATTAAAAAGTCATGATCTGCATGGAGCACACACTGTGTTATAGACTGGTGTATCTTACCAGTACACATTTTTGGGATGGGGTGCGTAGCTGACGTTCCACTTCTTCACTTTCAGAGTTTCACTCTCAGATGAAGGTTGGGGCATCCTCCCGCAGCAGCAGCTTGTCCCGCCACACTCGAGTGCGTTGAAGTCTTTCAAAATGCTGAAGAGAGTAAATGACAGCTGTTAGTGATACACATTTACCAGCTCTCAACAATGGCAGCTGCCCAAAGGTCTGCTTTCACTATAAAGTCACGTGGTGACGATAAAATCGAAGAGATCACCGCCCTGATCAGGCAGAGGAACAAGCACAGTCAGCTGACATAACACCACTGCTGCTACACAGCCAGACACCAGGCAGTACAGATGCTCCTGCTGTTTGCTTCACCTGTAAATAGACGTGTACTGACAGGAAAAGACACCTTTAAATTGGTACTCACTACTTGGCCATAGCCTCAGTCTGCAGGGTGACGAAGGCCATCCCCAGGGGGTGCTGTGGCACCAGTTCTGTCTGCTTCCTCACCTCCTCCAGCAGGTCTTTTTCTTTAGTGCTGTAGTACTCTATCGCATCAACCTGACGAAACACACGCACAGATTAAATGCTTAATTGAAACGACCTTTTAGACACTAATTTAAGTGTACTTATTACAAATAAGCAATTAAAATCAAATAATATAACAGCACTTTTTACACTTTAACTGTTTTCTGTTAAACCATAGTTTATAACTCTATTTCCTCATGTCCTTTCTTGTACATTTCTGTGAGGTAACACTCTAAAAAGTTTGCAGAAATCTTGGACTTTTTTTGTTTTTTAGGGGTGTAAATACTTCCTTTTTCATGGGAAATGTGTTAATAATAAAAAATATATATTTTGGTTAAAACAGCATCATTGTGTGTCCATTAGTTTCATTTTCTTCCCCTTAACACCAATGTATTTCTGCAAAAAAATGTGCTATTCCTTTTAGTGGCATCACTTAGAGGAAATGACATTCAAATGGGGAGTTTTGATTTATCAGTACATTTTTCTTTCAAAACCTTCCCTGTCACGCAACACATTTCCACCCCATCACGTAAAAAACATGAGGAAAACATTTTTTTAATGAAACTTTCAAAATGTGTTGTATAAAACCAGATTTTTTTGTTTAGCTACATGCTAGGTGTGCTGAGAGAATTTCGGCCATATTACTTCAAATCTTTACACCCCGTCACAGACTCATATCTGGATAAAGTGGGTAAAAGAAAAATTGGGCCTAGCTTGTAAAGTATGTTTTATTGCAAGTCTAACGTACCATTAATACTATGAAATACAATATTATATATTTGTAACCTTTTTCCTTTTATCACAACATTTAGAGCTTTTTAGTCATAACAAAAAACAGCAAAAAGAACTTGTTTTCAGTAGATTATGTAACTTTAGCCATTAGCTAAATGTTGGAAATATGGTGATACTAAACACTGGAAAGTCCTACCAGTAAAAAGAAAATGTGTGCAGTATGCAGAGCTTTAGTTTCGAGGGGTGGCACAAGTGTTGCCAATTTCAACTCAAGCAGTCTTATAAAGCCATGCTATCAGAGCAACCACATCACACCCAAACAGAATTACAAGTATACAGCTGTTAATTTTTTTTTTTAACCCAGTGGCATCGGATCAATACTCTGTATTTGCTGCTAAGCAAGTTAAGGTATCGGTGTGGGGAAGGAGAATAGCATCAGAACATCTCTACATGAAAAATAAAACCTAAAAGCATCCAGACACCCTGCACAAACCTTTCCACTACCTGATCCATCTAACCTTTGAAGAGCTGGAGCAGCAACAAAGCTGACTACACACACGAGGGTCAATCAGCTCACGCTTCCCTGTTTTCTCGAACACACGCTCGTAGTAGCGCAGGTTTTTTCCAGCTCGTATCCTGGGGTGAAGAAAGAAAAACACACAAGTTAGTTTAACTGAGTGAAAATAAAGCCCAAAGTAAACGTCCCTCAACATAAGATAAGATAGACTTTATTGTCCCGAAGGCAATTTGTCTTAGGTACATGCCTTACCTGCTGTTTAAAGATACAAAAAATGTATACATACAGTTCCTACATATATGCAGTCCATACACAGAGCTGTCACATTTTAAACACATTTTAAAGTCTAGTATATGCTTCATATGCTGTTGTTTGCAACCATTTTGCTGCAGCAACATCTAAAAACATATTACCTACTGAAGAGTTAGAGTGAGACTGAAACACATAAGAAACTCTGGAGGCCATAAAACCAGAATAATGAGCTGTAAGAGGCTGAAGAGTTAAAAAGAGCTGCTGAGCTGGGTGACAATTCTGTTGGTTTGTCACTACATACATCAATTAGATATATTGTTAAAACAAATATTTATTTGTGGCACACATCAAAAACAATCATCAGCAATGAACTGTGCACAACTGGCATGCAGTCAGTGCCACAGAGGGCATTAATCACACTTCCAATTTCTCACCTTTCCTTATCAAGGTGCATGAGCTTGGCCACGTTATAGCCCAGGGTCACAGCACACACTCGGCAGGAAGGGTACGCCTCTCTGTACAAAAACAGTGCTGACATTGAGGGACGAAACACGTGGCTACTATTTATGATAACATGCAAGCACACTTAGGCAAGAGCAACATTTGATTTTACAAGATATGGAATTTTCCAGTAAATTTTACAACTACTACTCACATGAAATGGGTCTTTACAGCTTCCTCTGTCGCTGTTTTAGGGACTGAACACACAAACAAGGTGTTTCTGGTCTACAAACAAAGACAGAATGAGGGATCAGTCAGGTGTCAGCAGTGACATTCAGCATCTACTTACAGGTATAGTTTACCCCCCATATGACCCTTTGAATATGTTAGTCACCCTGTGTTATGTTGAACTCCTTAAGAAAACAGTTTTTTCTCACATGCCTCCAGTGAGCAGAGAATCCAAAAACAAAAAACTGTTGAGGAATTGAAGTAAACAGGGACAACTTTGATAACAGTAAAACTAAATCAAAACACCTGTTTACAAACTCTCACACAACTCGTGCTGTATAATCCAAGTTTCATTTCTCCAGTCACATGCCCAGACTTCCCTTTCCAACTGAAAGTGAACGTAAGTAAAATTTATCTGTCTCTTCAAAGCCAAACTCCACTGACAAAAACAGTAATTTTACCTCACTGAACACAGGAGCTGCTGGTCTACCACAACCTTGGTCAGTTAGTTTGTTTGTGTTATTGTGTGACTTCGGTGAATCCGAACTAACCCTTCAAAACACCAAAGTCACACAATAACACAAACCAATCATGATGGAGGCAGCAGTAGACCAGCAGCTCCTGTTTTCAGTGAGGTAAAATTACTGTTTGTGTCAATGGAGTCTGGCTTTGAAGAGAGCATAGAACATTTTCACTTTCCATTCAGTTCCCCGTCAGAAAGGACTGACTGTTTGAGAAGTACTGAGCATAAGACTGGATATACGACACTTGGATTATACTGCACAAGTTGTGTGAGAGTCTGTAAATGGAAGTTTTGATATAGTTTAGCTGTTGTTAAATAGAGCCCACTGACTTGAATTCATCAGTTTTTGAATTCTATGTTCACCGGAGACATGCGAGAAAAACAAAGTCACCTTCACAAATTCAACACACAGGGTGAGTAATTGATATACAAATGGTCATTTGGGGGTTGAAGCATTCCTTTTGTAGAATTCAACACTAATCTGGCTATCATTATGTGCTTAGCTCCTCCTGGACCAGGGGTAGGCAACCTGAGGCTCGGGAGCCACATGAGGCTGTTTAGCCCTTCTCAAGTAGCTCAATGTGGCTTTGACCAAAAAAAAAAAAGAAAAAAAAAAAAGGAAATAAATAACAGCTTTCCAACTGTATAAATGTGTGGCCTACACCCTGAATAAAAAAAATGCTTAAACATCTCATCAACTATGTGTGTCATACGTCTACGGCCTGGCGCTTTCTCCTAAAATTTGCAGAATGTCAGTAGCGATGGCTAAGCTAGACTCTCTGTAGCGAGGCTAGCTATTGATTCCCAATCTGAAAAAGAAAACATCCAAAATAAAACAGAGGAAAATAGAGAATTTCGTAGTGAGTAGACAGATTTATTTGCTTTCACCACTGACGCTGCAAAGTTTAAGTACCAAATAATTATAAGTAGCAAATCAATGAATGCTCATTAAGACCTACTGGGAATGTTATAGGCTAATGTAGATTAAATAGGCTGTGTTGC